GGGGGGTGGGTTGGGTGCAGTTGGGCTCCGGAAACCAGAGGCTGGTACTGTGGGCGGGGGTCTAAGGTGGGAGGCTGGTGCTCTGGGGGGTTGAGTGTAGGAGATTCTGGGGTCAGTGGCTGCTGCTGGGTGGGTAGTGGAGGGGTGGGAGGTTCTAGGGGTTAGGGCTGGCACTGGGGCTTTTTGTACCGTGGATCAGCAAACCCATTCATAAACTTTTGGTAGACAGGCAACAGTTTATTTGCATATTTGAATATTTATTATTTACATCATGAATATATAAATAGACAAATAAAAAAGCTGCCTGTCTGCTGAAAGTTTGTGACTGGGTTTGCTGGGCCGTGGTATAAAAAAGGTTGGGAACCTCTAAGCTGCAGGATTACACTGGCCAGGGATCGTCCCTGAAATAATTCCTAGAGCCGGGCTTTTGGAAAAAAAACGACCAATTGTGACTGAAAATATTGCCTGTGATGGCGAATCCAGCAGCACCAGGGGCCACATTCCCAGAACACCGTGGGTGGAGGAGCCAGCCAGCAGAGGGACCACCGCGGGGGGGCCTGGCTCCTGCCTCAGGGGCTGGTCCCCCCACACTCACCGGCAGAGGAAGAGGGGCAAGGCGGCCCCAGCTCACTCTGTTCTCCTGGTGCGCCACACTGGGGGAGCTGGGTGGGATTGCCCTGCACTCCCCATCAGGAAGCAGAGCAAAGCAGCCAGGGGAGCAAAGCACCATGCCTGGCTCAGTGGGCCCCAAAGCATGCGGGGTGTCTGTGGAAGAAAGCTCGGGAGGTATGGCAGGTCCCAGGCTAGGGGCATGGACAGGTATGAGCGGGGAGGGGCGCGATATTAAAAGTTTAGGGACCACTGGCTAGGGTTACGAGGTAGGTTTAGAAAAAATACCAGACACACTTGAATGCAGAGGGAGGGTCCAGGAGGGGGGCAGGGCTGGCCGGGAGGGGGTACAGGGACAACTCGGCTGGCCGCGGGAGATGGGGGGGCTGAGGGGTGGGGCGGCTGGTCCCAGGGAGATCGGATGGGGGGCGGGGGGTTGGGGCAGCGCGGCTGGCCCGGGGAGATGGGAGAGGGGTCGGGGGCAGTGCAGCTGGCCAGGGGAGGTCAGGAGAAGAAGAACTGGCCGGCAGGAAGCAGGGGTAGCCGGGAGGGGGTCGGGGGCAGCGGAGCTGGTCAGGAAAGGTCGGGGGAAGCAGGGTGGTGGTGGGCGGGCACGTGCAGGTCCCGGGGCGCTGTCAGTCCCGCGCACAGTCCGGAGAAGCATGAATGAGTCCGGCTGCGGCTCCACCACGCGCTCAGGAGCAGGGACAGGGCTTCTCCTCCTCCCCAAGGCGTCAGACGCAGCCAGGGCTCCTGGTGCCGATCGCGCCCACCTCCCAGCCCCTCCTCCCGCCCCTGCCTGGCTTCCGTCCGGCACCCCGCCAGAAATCCAGGAAATACCAGACACTGCACATGTCCAGTATTTTCTGGATTTTTTTTCTGGACAGAGGGCCCCAAAACCGGACTGTCCAATAGAACACCTGGCAACCCTACACTGACCTCGCTAATGGAGCATTGATCTTCTCTGGTGCTGCTAGCAACTGCTGTAGGCGAAAGAGGTGTTGCTCATTTGCATTGGACTAGAGATGGGTGCAAGCTGCAAACTATGGAGGTGGATTTTAACCATAAAAAGGGAGCTTGGCTCTGGGGCTTTGGTTCATCCCATTAATAAGAGGGATCATTTGTAATGTACCCAGTTCCAGGTACAGATTTTGTACCAGCCCAAAGTTGAATGGTATACGGAGCTGGGCTTCCTTCTGGCTCCTCTGGCTGCTCGGCCATCACTGCTTATGGAGGAGTCAGGCCACAGGTTTAGCATGGGATTCCTGGTAAAGTGGCAATCCCAGCAGGGAGCCCTAATCTCCAGATTGGGATCTGAGCTCAGGAGTCTAATAATGAGGTCAGTGGAAAATACCTCTTTCTGAGGGCTGCGGCAGGACTAACATCTGGAATGAGTCATGCACAATGTTATTGCTTTTCCCCCTGCTCAGCTGAGCCCAGCAGAAAATCTGATCTAAGCTGGAGTCAAAGCCGGGCTCTGGGGGTTGGGCAGGTCGCTGCCCTTGCTGATAGGCCCATGCAAAAGATGAAGAATTAAGCACCACAACTCACGTGAGCAACTGGAAGTGACCCCCTGGCATGGCTGAGTGGGACTCAAGTGGAGGGGAACTGAGGCAATGGGAGTCTTTAGAAATGTTCACCTACCCCATCCAAGCCCTGCCCCTCATGCAGCTGAGGGCAGGACCTGCCCACCCGATCCCTGCTTTGTGCCGTCTAGTTTCAAGTTGATGGCACTTCCCCTGAGCCACCATCCTTTAGTCTTTTCAGGGATGGGATGACCAGAGCCTGAGGGGGAGGGGCAAAGTGAGGGCGGACGGCTTCAGCAGTATTATTGAGCATGCTCAGTACAAACCAAGCAGCAAATCTTGGGGGGAGGGTATGACTTCTTCAGAGGGATGCGTCTCCTCCACCCCTCCCACTGAGATGGGCCGTGCTGCAAGATAACAGTGCCAGTAAGGGATTGCCCTGCTCATGCCTTCCAGGTTTTACAACAAAGTGTGGGATTTGCACCAAGGAGCTGGGGCCTCCGCGGTGAACCCATTACTCGCCTACATGCTGATCAAGAGGCTGCAGTCTGATTGGCTGAATTTGGTGCACAGCCTGGAGGCCACTGAAAACATCCAAGGTACCGGAAAGGAGGCTGCCCTGAGCCCACGGCCACCAAGGACCCACAGCTCTTGGCCTGCGTGGGGTCAGCCGATGAGCACAGTGGGTGGGATTCGCAGAAGTACTCAAGTAGTCAATCCCAATAGGAGTTAGGCACCTGCATGCCTTTGTGAATCTTTCCCTGCCTGTCCAAAGGAGCTGGGATTTGGGGGCTAGAGGCTCAGCGGGTGTCACCTGTCCTGGATCCATTGTGTCCATGTAGAGATGAGGGATGCTCAAGGGAAGGTTTGAATGTGGAAGGGGAAGATCCCAGCTGTTCAGCACTGAAACGCTTCCCGATGGCATTTAAGGAGAAACCCCTTCTCATGGCAGGAGCCATGAATCCATTCTTAGCACTAGCCAATGTAAGCATTTATCTGGGCCCAGGCATTTGCTTCTCCACAGCCCCACTGAGCCCCCCAATCACTGACATTACAGCCCTCAAGAACGGCTACAAGAAGGTGGAGAAGGACTTGCCCGAGTTCGAGGACTTGGAAGGAGCAGCCCGGGCGCTGATGAGGCTGCAAGACGTCTATGCGCTGAGCGTGAAGGGGCTGGCCAAAGGCATGTTCCAGAGAGCCAGCAGCACCCACCTCCCTGATCTATACAGCCCTGGGCAGCGCTTCCCACTCTCTGCGGATGACTGCTTCCTCGTCGGCAAGGTAAGGGTGAGCCACAGGGTCTGCACTGCCGGATCACTGACGGGGGGGTCACCAGACTGTCGCCCAACCTGTGCGTAACAGCGTCTCCTAGTGAGCCGTCTGCAGGGACATATGCCAGCCACTAGAGGGGGACAAAGAGCCAGGCTGTGTTAACGTGGATTCCACGTTTCTCACAAAGGCTGGTGGGGGTCCCTGTGGGTTGGTAAGAGCACCCAGCTCCACCAGTGCCTCAACGCCCCTCAGCTGGTGGGACAGGGCTTGCCAACCTGATCCCTATTCAGGGCAGCCAATGCAAGATGAAAGTCCCTTCTGTCAGGCTTATTGTCAATAGGCCCTGGAGGAAATTTGCTTCCTAGCCACAAATTCAGTTCTCAGTTTAATTGTCTGTGTAAGGAACTGGAGGTGTCGCTGTGCTGGCAGCTCGGGTATTGAACTCATGATGCTCAACACAAGCCCTACAGAGCTCCCCTCTACTGTAAGTTGCAGGATTTGTCACCACTGGGGCCAGCCATTCTGGGGAGATTTGGTGACATGCACGAAGCTGGTATGTGTTATGTGTGGGACTCTGGTCTTTTCAGACACCGAAGACGCTAATGAAATTGCTGGTATCTAAACCTCTCTGTGCCCCTTGATTGACTATCCAAGTATGGGCTAAACCCATCTCCCGGGACAAGTGTCTTTCCAGCACACTGTGCTATGATTGGACTATGTGCTGGGGAGATAGGGTGGCCACCTTTGTAAAATGCAAAAAGGGGACATGTGCAGGGACTCCGGTCTTTGGTCAATCCAGAAGCTGGAGCCAGAGAGTGGTAAGAGCGTCCCAGGGAGTCTGGGCTGCTGTGTGGAGCTCTAGACCTTCCACCTGCTCTGCAGTGCCTAAGAGCAACCCCTGGCCCGTGTCTCCATCCTCTGGGATGTGCCACCCAGAGCAGGTGGAGGGTCCAGGAATTTGGGGTCCCCACATTGGCCCAGGCTCCCTGGAAAGCTCTTGCTACTGCCTGGCAGGAGCCAGGTCTGAATGGTATCCCATCGATTAATCGTGTAGTGAACAAAATGTTTGTCAACTACACGATTAATGGATTACACGCGTCTTAACATCCTTAGTTCTCATCGGCGCTCCTGCAGCTCAACCTGGGAGCCCTGAACTCGGACCCTCAAGCTGGAAGTGAGTTCTGAACGCCTTGGTCAGAAACAGCAGGGACTCTCCATTCTAGCGCAAAATTTCTTACCCGAGGTAGCACCAGCCACAGCATCAGGAACCCTGAGTTCTGTCCCAGATGAACAGTTAATTAACCAGGTATCGGAGGCAGGGGAAGGCCTTGCCTACTCAAACTGCCAGCCCCACCCACACTCCATCCCCTGCTTCAGTTCAGCTCCTGGGCTGCCCCCGAGCTTCAGCCTCACAGAGGCTGGGAACACACTGGGGCAGTGCGCCCTGCCTGTGCGCCAGGGCAGCTGGGAGAGAGCTCTCCTGGGCTGTAGGTAAACCACCTCCATGAGGGAAGTAGCTAACAGCGCGGGGAGCACGTTCACACTGGCGCTTTACAGCACAGCAACTTGCCTTGCTTTGGGGGGTGGGTGGGTGTGCTATCACACCCCTGAGCCAGGAAATTACAGCGCAGTAAAGTGGCAGTGTAGACAAGCTCTTAAGTTGTGAGCTCTTTGAAGCAGTGGTCTTGGGGCTCCTACAAACTATGAAAATACATTATAATAATAAATTACAAAAAACCAACAATTGGTCTGGTAGCACTTTATAGACTAACAAAAGTGCTACCAGACCATTTGTTGTTTTTTTGTAATTTATCCTATACAGACTAACTCGGCTACCCCCTGAAGCTTCATCATCATAATAATTAGTAATGGATAATATAATTCCCAAGATTATTTATCACATTATGTAAGTATCACTCTCTCCAGTTACAAAGGATACATCTGAGTCATAGAGAAATTAAGTGACGAGCCAAAGGATATACAGCAAGTCACTGGCAGAGTCAGTAGACCCTTGGGGTATGTCTAGACTACAGGGTGGCCTTTTTTCAAAAATATTTCCCTGCATCTAGACTGCTGCCGCATTCTTTCGAAATTAAATCAAAAGACTGTGGCAGTTTTTTCGACCGTGGAAAACTTCATTTTACAAGGAATAATGCCTTTTTTCAAAAGTGCTAAAAAAAAGGCGCTATGTAATGCAAACTGTGCTTTTTTTCGAAAGAGAGCATCTAGACTTCCTGGGTGCTCTCTTTTGAAGGAGCGGATTGCTTTTTCAAAGGTACTGGTTGTAGTCTAGATGCTCTTTTTCGAAAGAATCTTTCAAAAAAGCTTCTTTTCAAAGAGGCTTGCAGTCTGGACGTAGCCTTGAGGCGCAGCCCCCTGCAGTAACCACTACCCATGCACTATCAGCATTAAAAAAAAAAAAAAAAGCAATGGACACATAAATTTACGCCGGTGACTAGTACTCATTGGAATGTCACTGCAAAACCATCCCTTGTTTGGATAATAAATCTCAAATGCCATTGTCAGCAAATGTTTTGCATTTTTATCTGCCCTGGCTCCAGATCGGGTGTCTATCACATGAAAATTCTCAGATTTTGTTTAACCAAGTAAGTTTTGTGGTTGCCAAGGAAAAGTTAAAAACGTGTGTGCACCCACTCCCCCCCTCCCCCGGCCAACAGGTAAAAACCAGAAGGCCCATAAAAAGGATTCCAGTGTTTTACTGTTTAGTTCTCATTATTCTTAAGACTATCTCAAGATTTTTTTCAGACAGACTCATGATTTTGGAATGCCTGGGGCTGGCCATACTAGACACTGTATACCTCTCCCCTCCTTTGGAACTTTTAAAATGTTCCGTGTTGTTTTGAACACTGAAAATGGTCCAAATCTCAACACTCCCTCCAAAAAAATACTTCAAAAAATACAGGAGGCGAGACCACAAAGGAGCCAGAGGAAGGCTAAGCACTGGTCTTCACTGGTAACTTCAGCATAGCTACTTCCCATCAGGGGTGTGACAAATCCACAACCCTTGGCTGACCTAATCCCCTCTGTAGACAGTGCTAGGTTGATGGGAGAATTCTACTTCTACTGCCTCCCAGGACTGGAAGGTGGATTATTCTCCCACAACCAGAGAGGCCCTCCTCCCTTTCCCACTGCTCCACATCCTGCCCCAGCCCTTGGGATGGCTGAGGCCTCTCATCTGCTGCCTTGCAGGTGGCGTACGACATGGAGGATTACTACCACTCCATCCCGTGGCTGGAGGAATCCGTCAGCCTCTTCCGCGGCTCCTACGGCGACTGGAACACAGAGGACGAGGGAAGTCTAGCGGATGCGCTGGACCACCTGGCTTTTTCCTATTTCAAGGTGAGTCTGGGGGGCAAACTTCACCTACCGGCCAGGGCTGTGTTCCACATTGCACTCAGCCAGAAACACCTGCTGGCAGCAACATCCCATTGGGCTGTCCCCGAGGGTAATGTGAGGGGCTTTCCAAAACACCTGGGCTCAGATCCTGGACGGTGGCAAGGGGTGTGTTCTCCTAATCTCAGGCCACCCATGCACAAATCAGAGATTGCCAGGGTATGCTGGGCACGCCTCCTTTTCCTGGCTATGCCTCCTTTTCATAGAATCATAGAATAATAGGACTGGAAGGGACCTCAAGAGGTCATCGAGTCCAGCCCCCCGCCCTCAAGGCAGGACGAAGCTCCGTCTACACCATCCTTGACAGATGTCTATCTAACCTGTTCTTAAATATCTCCAGAGAGGGAGATTCTACCACCTCCCTTGGCAATTTATTCCAATAATTGACCAACCTGACAGTTAGGAATTTTTTCCTAATGTCCAATCTAAACCTCCCCTGCTGCACTTTAAGCCCATTACTCCTTGTCCTGTCCTCAGAAACCAAGAGGAACAAATTTTCGCCTTCCTCCTTGTGACACCCTTTTAGATATTTGAAAACCACTATCATGTCCCCCCTTAATCTTCTTTTTTCCAAACTAAACAAGCCCAGTTCATGAAGCCTGGCTTCATAGGTCATGCTCTCTAGACCTTTAATCATTCTTGTCACTCTTCTCTGTACCCTTTCCAATTTCTCCACATCTTTCTTGAAATGTGGCACCCAGACAGTACTAGTGCCGAGTAGAGTGGCAGAATGACTTCACGAGTTTTGCTTACAACACATCTGTTGATACAACCTGGAATCATATTTGCTTTTTTGCAACAGCATCACACTGTTGACTCATATTCAACTTGTGGTCCACTATGACCCCTAGATCCCTTTCCGCCATGCTCCTTCCTAGACAGTCGCTTCCCATCTTGTATGTATGGAACTGATTGTTCCTTCCTAAGTGGAGCACTTTGCATTTCTCTTTATTAAACCTCATCCTGTTTACCTCTGACCATTTCTCTAACTTGCTAAGGTCATTTTGAAGTATGTCCCTATCCTCCAAAGAAGTTGCAACCCCACCCAGTTTGGTATCATCTGCAAACTTAATAAGCGTACTCTCTATCCCAATATCTACATCATTGATGAAGATATTAAACAGTACGGGTCCCAAAACAGACCCTTGAGGAACTCCACTTGTTATCCCTTTCCAGCAGGATTTAGAACCGTTAACAACAACTCTCTGACTACAGTTATCCAGCCAATTATGCACCCACCTTATCGTGGCCCTATCTAAGTTATATTTGCCTAGTTTATCAATAAGAATATCATGCGAGACCGTCTCAAATGTCTTACTAAAGTCTAGGTATATGACATCCACCGCTTCAACCTTATCCACAAGGCTCGTTATCCTATCAAAGAAAGCTATCAGATTAGTTTGGCACGACTTGTTCTTCACAAACCTATGCTGGCTATTCCCTATCACTTTATTACCTTCCAAGTGTTTGCATATGATTTCCTTAATTACCTGCTCCATTATCTTCCCTGGGACAGACGTTAAACTGACTGGTCTGTAGTTTCCTGGGTTGTTCTTATTCCCCTTTTTATAGATGGACACAATATTTGCCCTTTTCCAGTCTTCTGGCCACGCCTCCTTTTCCTAGCCACCCCATCTATTCCAGTTCACGGGAGGAGGTTGTGTAGGAACCACTACGCTGACTGGATGCCCAGGAGATCCTTCTATGCTGGGCTGGCCCCACCCTGCCTCCCAGGGCTGACTAGGCCTGTATCAGATGGACACTTGGCAGCAGCAGCCCAGGACAGGTTCTGACCCTCAGGGATGGGGCGGGAGGATTCCAAACTCAGACCTGGGTCTGAATTTTGTAGCTGGCTCCTCTCTTTAAACGAAACACTCCCCAGGCTGTGCAGGTTCCTGGGCTACAGCAGGGCTGAAAGCTGCAGCCCGGCCTGTCTCCGGGGCTTTGCTTATACGTGTGTCAGCCACAAGCTCGTCTCCCCACCAACACTGGCCCCCAGGAGCTCCTTGTCCTGGCCTGTATCCAGCCACCCTCCCTCCAGAGCTTGTGCCCCCTCCTCCGCCAGCCAACCCCCGCTCTCCCACTTCCTCAGCTCTGGTTTCATCTCATTCATTTCCCTGCCTGCTTGGGGGTGACGGTTGATTTGTTCCAGCACCTTCTGCTGAATGAGCAGCGTGCTACTGTGCATAGAAGGAAGCCCCTTGCACTGGTGTCTGATCTGCCCCTGCAGCCAGTATGAACACTGTCTCTGAGCCACTAACTCCCCAAATCCAGCCCATCCCTGTGCCAGGGACTGCACCTGACTAACGGCCCGGCAGCGAGCTGCTGGGACTTGGAGGCTCTCACCCTGGCTGCCCAGGTGACTCGGTCTCAAATACTCTGCCCAGGGCATCCTCCCTCCCTTGTCCCTCTCCCCAGCTGCCACAAGCAGGGGATTGGCTGTCTAGCTGTAGCTACGCTGAACTCGAGTCACGCCTGGAGAAGCTGGTGTGATGCAGGTCTGGGGCCCCCAGGGGTAGCGCGTGGCGCTGATGATGCAAGATGCCAGCAAGCCACACTGCTCCAGAAGTGGGCGGGGCTGAGTGGAGAGGGGGTGTGGCCAGAATCCCCCTGCCCCAGCCTCCACTGGGCAGGTTCTAATGGCTCCCGATTGCCTACCAAAGCCAATAGGAGCCTGAGGGGAAGGGTCTACCCCAGGGGTGTCCAAACTTTTTTCAGAGAGGGCCAGATTTGATGAAGTGAACATGCGTGAGGGCCGACCATTTTGCCTGACATTCTTTGAACCATTAAAATTAAATGCAAATTAACTATTTTATGCAAAGTTTATTGCAAACGGCATACTTTTATTTCGTCACATGGATGACAAATCTAAACAGGTGTTAAATCACTCTGCCTTTCATATCTGAAGGCCAGATGAAAAAAAAATCCAGGAAGCTGAAATATATGTCAGGAACATTGTAAAGTACATTACATATTATTGGTAATAAAGGTTGTCTGTCAACTTTTAAGTTCAAAAAATATGAACAGGAACATAACACCAAGTATACATGTTGTGTCCAAATATATTTATAACTGATTTAGACCAACTGACATTAACTGAGATTTTACAATGTATTCATCTCAATACATATGGATTCGTTGGGGGCCATAAAAGATAGATATTGCCAAATTACCTGGGGGGCCGTCTTAAACCGGAACACGGGCCGCAATTGGCCCGCGGGCCGGACTTTGGACATGCCTGGTCTACCCCATGTTGCCCAGGGCACCGTGTGAGCGCGCACAGGAACTGATCCACTGCCCAGTGAAGCCAACGGGGCCCCACTGATTTCGGTGGGCGTTGGCTCCGATTCTAAATCAGCCTGAGCCACGATGCTCGGATCGGAATCAGAACTCCCACCACCTCAGCGCGCACTTGGATGCAGCCACTGAGGCATGTAGTGTCGGCGCTGACGCCAGAGATCCCTGCAGCTGATTTGGCTTTGTTTGTGCCTGAGGTTTGTGCCCATTTCTGTGGCGCATGGTGGGAGCTGAATAGGAGTGGGGGAAAGGGGCAGTTGCGTAGGGTACACCCATCATTCCAAGGCTACCCGTGTTTCCTCTCTCTCCTAGGCAGGAAACGTTTCCCAAGCCTTAAGCCTCTCCAGAGAGTTTCTTCACTACGGTATGTGATGGGCAGCAGGAAATCCGGGATTTCTCCCTCCACTCTGTGTGCAAAGTTGCTTTTCAGCGAAACGGGGGGTTCTCCAGCTGTGGTCCATGGAGCCCCTTTCCCGTGCTGTGCTGTTTATAATGGTTTGGCAAAAAAGCAAAGAGCAGGGGGGTGGGCTGGGTCCAGGAGAGTGTCTCTTCCTACACGGCAGGCTGTTCAACTCCAAAATTGCCGAGCTAAATGAATGCCAGCACATGCTCACAACTAAGGTACAGGGGAGGCATTCCACACTTCTTCCACTTCTGGGGTAGCAAGGGCCAAATTGGCTCCCGGTGCAAGTTAGAGCAGCCCCAGGGCTGTTTTAATGTAGGCCGGCTGCACCGTTCTGTCACACCAGTCTAGCTGCGGTATATGGTCCAGGTTCTGGTCCAATCCTTGGGCAATCCTCTCAGCTGCCTGATGAAGGCAGTATTCATGCTCTTTGCATGACTGGAGTGATGCAAAAGGGCCTTGTGCTGCAGATCAGGCTCAAGGATTTACGGGTCCAACTCTCCTGCATATCAAGTTGTTACCCACTTTTCTAAATACCTGAGAATTGTTGCCTGAATCAGTACAGGCAGTCCCCGACTTACGCGGATCCGACTTATGTCGGATCCGCAGTTACGAACGGGGCTGCCCCGGAGTACACGGACTGTGGGACCTCGGGGTCCCGCCACCCGTGTACTCCGGGCGAGAAAAGCTGCTCCGCGTCTCCCTGGTCTGCAGACCAGAAAGACGCAGAGCAAAGCCGCGGAGGGGCTCGGGCAGCGAGGCAGCCCAGGCGCGCCTGGGCTGCTCCGCTGCCGGCTTCCCCGAGGCTTTGCAAAGCTGCGAGGGGGCTCGGGCAGTGGGGCAGCCCAGGCGCCCCGCGGCTGTCCCGCTGCTGGCGTCCTCAGAGGCTTTGCTCCCCGTCTCCCTGGTCTGCTGGAGACCAGCAGACCAGGGAGACGGGGAGCAAAGCCGCGGAGGACCCAGGCGGCGGGACCGCGGTGCGTCTCGGTCTGCCGCCCGCGTCTTCCTGGTCTGATGGGGTGGGGGGGCACAGCTAGTACGCCCCCCACCCCCAGCAGACTAGGCTTTTCTCCGGACGCCTGTGGCAGAGCAGCTAGGGAGCTGCCGGTTGGTCCCGCAGCGCCTCTCTGGGCGCTACTGGACCAACCCAGCAGCACCCCAGCTGCTCTGCCACAGGCGTCCTGATTTAGCCGCTGCTGAAACTGATCAGTGCTGAGTACAGGAAGCCCGAGGCAGAGTTGCTCTGCCCCGGGCTTCCTGGAATCAGCTGCTGATCAGTTTCAGCAGCAGCTGACTTGGGGACACTTGGGGTTCTTAAGTTGATTCTGTATGTAAGTCAGAACTAGCGGTCAGTTTCAGCAGCGGCTGAATCAGGACGCCTGGGGCAGAGCAGATGGGGTGCTGCTGGGTTGGTCCAGTAGTGCCGAGGAGCGGCGCTGCTGGAGCAACCCAGCAGCACCCCAGCTGCTCTGGTCCTGATTCAGCCGCTGCTGGTCAGTTTCAGCAGCGGCTGAATCTGGACGCCAGTTCCGACTTACATACAGATTCAACTTAAGAACAAACCTACAGTCCCTATCTTGTACGTAACCCGGGGACTGCCTGTACTCGGTAGCCAGCTGGCCGGCGTGTTATGTGCACCACTGACCTCTGCTAGCTAGAATGAGAACTGCTCCATGGTGTCATGTACAGACACATGCCAGAGGCCCCACTTTAGCTCACGTGCAAGGGGACTGCGCTTTCAGAGCAGGATTTAAATTCCATCCTCACTGTCCCCATGACATTCAGTTTGGCTGTGGGACATAGCAGGCCATGGGGGGACAACCATGCAAGCCCTTGGTGACTGTGGATTTTCCCTAGATTTGAATTAAGGATCGAAAGAGCTGTTGTAATGGTCAGATCACAGGTTCTCAAACTGGCGGTCCCAAGGTTGTCATGTGAGGGGTGGGATCAGCCCTATTCATGGCTGAGAGCCCAAGCTCTACCCCAACCCCCCTGTCTGTCTCCCCATTCAATACAAAAATGTGTTTTTAATTCATAGGGGCTCCACGCTCAGAGGCTTGCCAGTACAAAAAGTTTGTGAATACTTGTCTAATCTGATCTCTAGCATAGCGCAGGGCCGGGAACCTCACCCAGTCACTCCTGGGTCCAGGCCAGAACTTGTGTCTGAACTAGTATGTGCCTTTCAGAAAGACAGACCATCTTGACTTGAAGGCCAGAAGCGATGGAGAATCCCCCTGATGCTTGGTAAATTGTTCCAGTGGGATTAGTTACAGTCCGCTCTGATGCTCTTGGGTGAGCGAGACTGACTTGCGAGCTTTTGAGCTCGCCTCTTTCACTAACCGGCACTGGTCCAATAACAGATATCGCCTGCCCCCCTTGTCTCTCTGAAGTCCTGGGACCAAGGCAGCTACCCCACCTCTGCATGGAGATTTTACCTGTATTTCAGCAAACAGGACCAGGGCCGGGTGAAGAAATAGCCGTTTACGCGCTATAAAAGCTGAGGGATGAACTCAGTTAACAGTACCTGGGTCCGCCGAAGCATTGCCAAAGCCGCCTGCCGAGGGATGGGGTAATGGGACTGTGCTGTTTCCAACAGACCCCAGCAACAAAAGAATCGCTAGGAACGTCCTGAAGTATGAAAGGCTCCTGATGGAAAATCCAGAGCATGCCAAGGCAGAGGTGAGCCTGCAGCGGCCGAACGTCACACACCTGCAGACTAGAGACCTGTATGAAGAGCTATGTCGGACGCTGGGGTCGCAGGTATGGAGCCCTGAGCTGTCATGTGTGGCTAGGGGATGATGGTGAGCCAGACAAAGCTGCAGAGACTCACATCCTCTTGCCCTGATGTGTGCCTCGCACCTGAGGTTAGGTCACTCCCACTGCCCAGTCCAAGGCAGCGCATTGCAGGGATGGGTGTTATGACACTTAAGGTATGTCTAGACTACATGGCTCTGTCGCCAGAGCCACGTAGATTAGTTTACTAGACATACCCAAATGAAGCAGCGATTTAAATAATCGTCGCTTCATTTAAATTAAAATGGCTGCCGCGCTGAGCCGATCAGCTGTTTGTCGTCTCAGTGCGCTAGTCTGGACGCTCCGCGGTCGACATCAAAGGCATTTGTCGACCGCCCCGGTAAACCTCATCCCACGAGGCATACCGGGGCGATTATTTAAATCGCCGCTTCATTTGGGTATGTCTAATAAACTAATCTACATGGCTCTGGCAACAGAGCCATGTAGTCTAGACACACCCTTAGTGTGCCCCGCTGGTCAGTGTTTGCAGTGCCTGCCTCTCGGCAGGCCTTGGGGCTTGTCTCCACTTGGGCCTTTAGTAGTGTAGTTCCCCAGCTCCATCTCTGCAGTTAGCCCAGCTGGTGGCTGACAGGCGAGAATTGGAGGGAGGCCCTAGCAGCTTTGGGCAGCCTAGGTCAGATTTGAACCAATAGCCTTGTGACCTCTGGCCAGCCCTAGGATCCTACATCCTGCCTCTTCAGCACTGGGGGTGAAGCTCTTTGCAGCCCTGTATGAATTCTAAGCACGATCCCACTGGGAAAGGAGGAGCATGAGGCCTCAGGGCAGCTGATGCCACCCCTTTCTCCAGCGTTAGATGAGGCACAGTACCTGGTGAGCTGGATCCTCCAGCCATCTCCTCATGCATTCCTTGGATTGTTTTCCTTTCAGCCAGCCCAGTACCAGAGCCCAGCCCTGCACTGCTCCTATGAGACCAATGGCAGCCCATTCCTGATCCTCCAGCCAGCGAAAAAAGAGCTGATCCGGCTGCAGCCATATGTAGCCCTGTACCACAACTTTGTCAGCGACCTGGAGGCGGAGAAGATTAAGGACCTTGCAGCTCCCTGGGTGAGTTCATCAAGCCTAATGCACATGAGTCCTCATGCAGCCTAGAGAAACACCTACTGGCTTCAAGAGCTGGGGGTGTGAGCTGAATGCAGACAGATGGGAGTGCCTGACCAGCTAGTGCTGGGCCCACCCCAAACTCACATCCCAAGAAGCCCACAAGATAGCTCAGTGCCCCATTAGGCCTTCGTGACTCCAGCTTACCCCTGCACCCAGCGCTGGGGTTTTAGCTTTAAGTGGTAGGGGGGTTCTTCCTTCCGTGCTGCAGCCGGCCCGAGGGTCTGAGCCGTGCTGCAGGTGAGAGTTGGGTGATGCATTTTTCAGGGCTGGATGTTTTTCTAGAAGATCTACTCTCGTTCAGGCCAGGATTGTGGAAGGGAAGTCCTCTGGCCCGTGTTGTGCAGGATTTGTTGTGGGAGATGAGAGAGACATTGGAGGTGAGGTCAGATCTGTTATTGGCCTGCATTCTGTGGGGGGAGAGACAAGCTTTCGAGCTACACGGAGCTCAGTAGTGGCTCTAGGCTAGACCCAGAAGCCATCTTAGAATCGCAAAGGACCATCTGGAGGGCATGTCCATGGCCTGGTGGTCTGCACTGATGGCTGGCTCACCGTTTGGAGCAGGGATGACAATTCACTAGGGACCGTACAGCAGTCATGTGAGATTGTCGGGCAGCGGGTTCTTTAGAAGGGGCTGGGAGCTTGTGTCTCCCAGCCAGAGCAATGTGACAGAAGCAAGAAGCTGGTAGGTAGAGAGGTAACAAAACGAGAGGGATGGAACCCTGAATTTAAACCAGAGCTGAGCGGGCTGCAGTGGCCTTCCTGCATCTCGATGGGCTGCAAGATTGTGGTAACCAAGATGGTTTCCTGGGAAAGGGCAGTTTTGCTAACTGCACTTGTGTGCCTAGAAGTTGTGGGACGTGCTGACTGAACCGTGGCAGTGCTTTGGTTGGCTGCAGAGGGGCGCACGGCTCTCACAGTCAGTGTTGTGTGTGATCAGCATGCACCCCACTTCACGTGCGTGTCGCCATGGGCGTCCAGTATAATAGACGGGGGAAGGCTTTGCCTTCCCAAACCACCAGACTGGCCCTGCCCACACTCCACCCCCAGAACGCCTACTGTAGGTGTACCCGGGGTGGAGTCCTGCTGTCCCCAGCGCCTGCCCTCCCCATTAGGGTTGCCAGATGGTTTCAGAAAAAAAACCAAAAAAAAAGGACCCCGAGAGTTGTTAAGAAAAAAAACACAAAACAAAACCATGTGGTGAGGCTTTTTGGCCCTAACAGGCTGCTGGCGGCCGCCCGCCATCTTGCCTCCCTGCGCCAGGCCAGACAGCTCCCCGGTAAGCACTAGGGTTGCCAGGGACAGCCCGGGATTTTCTCCTCCTGGCCGGGAAAAAATCAGAAAGTGCTAGACATTTTCTGAGTTTTTTTACTGGACAGGTGGCAAAAATACCAGACTGTCTGGTTCAATACTGGACACCTGACAACCCTACTGCCCGTGCTCCTGGCCAGCGAGGCTGGGGTACACTCACACACCCACCCTCCTGCCCTCCCCTCTCCTCCCTGTGGGGGGAGGATCAGGGAGGCTCCCATGGAGGGCGGGGATTCTGTGGCCTCCCCCAGCCCTACCTTCCCCTACCACCCATGCATGTCACTTTAGCAGTGCCGATAGGAAAACAAAATGTCTTGCGGGCCACACATAAAGCCCCGATGGGCGGCATGCAGCCCACGGGCCGCAGGTTGCCCACTGCTGGTTTAAGCGGTTTATTGTGAGGTAAACCCCAGGCCTCCAGCTGCTGCTCTGGGCTCCTGCGGGAAGACCTGTTGCTGTGGTAACGAGCAAAGCGCCCTGCATGGAGATTAGCGGCTGTGCGAGAGCTGCCCGAGCTCAGCCTGGTGTTGGGCCCAGCTCTTCTCCCCCTCCCCCTGGCTCGCATGTGCTGCTTGTCTCTCCGCAGGGGAGGTTTTTGGAGCTCGCTGGGCCTGGCCTGTGAGAACTGTTCGCATTGCAGCTCAGCCAGCAGCTGTCCTGCCCAGCAGCCTTCCTGCCATCCCCTCCCCTGGGCAAGGCTGGGGGGCTCCATTCTCCTGGAAGGGAAGGGGCCTCAGGCAGAAGGGGTGAGGCTGGGGCAGCCAGCTCTCAGCGCCACCCAGAGAACGCTGCACCACGCCCCCCGCCTCCGTCAGCCCTCAGAGTCACCGGGAGCATGCTGTGTGGTGCTCCAGCGGTGATTTAAAGGGCCCTTGGCTCTGGTCGCTGCTGCTGTTGCTGTGGTAGTGGCAGCAGTGGCCAAAGCCCCAAGCTCTTTAAATTGCTGGGCCCTGGGCGACTGCCCCCTTTGCCCTCCCCCGTCCTCCTCCCAGTGTCAGTGAGGAGAGAATTTACTCAGGGCAGTGGCACAGCATTGCAGCAGCAGGCGGCTCGGGGCCCTGCTCTTGCTGGCTGGGTAATAGCGCCCCAGCTTGGAGCCTGAATTTGTGGGCCTCATCTCAGTGCAGGGCCTGATTACATAATTTCTTGCCATAATCCCCCCGGGGGTGTCCATGCCTGCCTCCCCCAGAGTGGTGGGGGGGCAGTGGCTGCAGCTCCCACATTTGTTACATCCTTCTATTACCTCTCGTGCCCTCCCCTCCTGTCGCTCAGCTGCAGAGATCAGTGGTTGCCTCCGAAGACAAGCAGCAGAAAGCTGAGTACCGGATAAGTAAGAGGTAATTACTCGCCCCTGTTGTTTGCGTTTTCCCAGCTAGAATTCCACGCTTCCCTGAACTGCCTTGCAGGGCTGCTTACAGGGAATGGCCTCTGCCCCGACTTAGTGTTAATCACTTCACAGCAGCACCTAGAGGCCCTGGCTGCAGCAGAGTCCCCCTGCGCTAGGTGCTGTACAAACACGCGGCCTGTGTCTGCAGTAGCAATGAAGCAGCAGCAGCATGGGCTAGTCTGTGCTGCTTTGGCTTCGCTGCTGTTGGCAGCCACGCTGACACTGCACGTGCTGCTGTGGCAGATCGCAGTGGAGACACACCCAGGGAGACAGCACCCTGGTCCCACACAGCTCATAGACAGACAGGAGGATTTCCCTCCCTGCTGGACAGATGAGGAACTGGGCTTGTGCCCAAATACACCCAAGAGGCCCCCGCTTCGCACCTCACTTGCCCAGACATGCATCTGACGAAGTGGATGGGTCTTTGCCCACGAAAGCTCATGATCCAATAAGTCTATAAGGTGCCACAGGACTCCTCACTGTTTATGCAGATTCAGACTAACATGGCTACCCCTCTGATACTTGCCCGGTGTAACTTGATCCTGGAGTCACACTTGATTGATCTGGGTGGGGGTGGGAATTAGGTTTATACTGTCTGGGGCAGAGCTAGATGTTCAAGGACTCCCTGCTATGACCGTACTGGGTTAACCATGAAAGGCACCAAAGCCTCTGCAGTCACCTCTCCCGAGGATCTGGGAATGTCTGTGTCTCAGGGTACGTCTGCACCGGAGCTGAAGGGGCAGTTCCCAGCTTGAAGAAACCAACCTGATTGGCTAGTGTAATGCTGAAAGGCAGAACCGAACCCGGGACCGCTGGAGCTTAGTGCATGCAGCTCTACTGCTTGAGCTAAGAGCCAGCTAGCGCTCAGCTCAGGCTGAGAGGAAACTCTTTCTGTCTCACTGTAAGTGGTCTCAGCGCCACTACATGGGACCCAGCAGGGGTGTGGGTTACCCTAACACACTTACAATGGAGTGCAGCTGCGCCGACAGTGGGAGCGGCTCGCTGCCTTGAGTAGGATCCTGTCTGAGATCCTGGGTCCATACTTGGGGCACCTAGCCCTTCCCACTGAGGCAGCGCCATGTCTGTTTTTAGCACACCAGCTCAGAGCTAACACAGGTCCGTCCACTCCAGCTGGAAATTACACCTCCAGCTCCAATGTCGAGGTAGCCCCGACGACACAAAGGCAGGGGATCAAACAGCTGGGAGTGAGATAGACTAATTTCAGACGGGAGAGACATTGGATCACTCTCGCCATAGGCTGAGTTTAAATTGGTTTCTTAGGAGGTCGGGGCCCCAGATCCGAGTCCTGGTTTCTGAAGTTCCCTGCAGTGACCTGCTTTTCAGTCTGCCATGGGAGGAGAATGTGTGGCTGGAAACTCAGACGCTTTCTTGCTCCCTCCGCTGTGATGGAAAAGACAGGTTTCCTGACTCCCTGCAGAGAGGAGCGTTAAATCCAGACTCCAGGCTGGGCGTAGTGTGGCTTTGCAGTGATCCCAGTAAATATTTCCGGACTCAGCCCTGTAGCATCATCCCCAGATGGAACAATGATGGAATTCCATTCCCAGGCCCGGAGCCAGCAGGGGAGGGCGAACGTTTAACCCCCACAGCTCCAGGAGGCTGCTGAAGATGGCAGAAGGGGCAATGGCAGCGATGTGAGAAGGTGTTTGTCACGACAGCACCCAGAAAAGGGAGGGAAAGGATATACCCTGGCAGGAAGGAAATTATAACTGGATAAATTACCTTAAAAGACAATGACCTAGATCCTCTGACTGGAGAAACTCACGTCCAGTACACATAGCATCTGCTAGAGACACAGTCGAGATGCACAGCGCTTCCCCTCTGAGCCTCTGCAAGCCCTTTCTAAGCATTCGTTAATTCTAGCTGCCACCTCTGCAACGAGGCGCCTATTAGTATAACCACCGCTATCGTGCAGATGGGTAAACTGAGGCAGGGAGCCGTGTCCAAAGCAACACAGTAAGTCGGGGCAGAGGGAGGAGTGAACCCACCCATTGTAATGCAAAAGTCCCCAATTGAACCATCAGACCAGCCCAGTCACCATTGAGGTACCATGCAGAAAGGCGAGACTGGATTGGTCCCTGGGATTAATGTTCTGCGTGGGAAGCTGGTTTCTCTACAAACCTCGTAATGACATTGAAAATCACCCCGGCTGCGTCCGTCTGGGTGGGACTCAGTTACTTGTTAGCCAGCAGATGATTTATTTCTCATGGCGGGCTCCGTGGCTCGCCCGCCCTGTGTAATGTGACTCCCCCACGTGAGCAGCAGTTCCTGGCCATTGGCAAGACACAGCTGTTGAGATGAAAGAGATTATTTTCTTTCCTGCCACCTCACTATTGTCGGGCCACCACCTGCCTGCACATTCCCTGGAAATCAAAAGCGGCAGCAACCTCAGTCCGGATCCTCTTCTGCCAGCTGGTGCCATTCTGGGTGTTCAACATCCCTGGCACCAAGCCTCTAGGACCAGCAGGAGTGTTGATGGGGAGCAGAGTGCCTTAGACACCTTTGCAATATTCTCTTGGACTGACAGGATTGCTATAGCTGAGGGGTACCTGATCCCCTCCCCTCTTGAGTCAGCTGATCTGGGCCAGCTGTGGACATGCCCTGGTTTTTATTGCAGTGTAGACCTACTCTAACCTATCTCCATATATTTAACCTCCCTGATCCTCAGTTCTCCTTCTGTAAAATGGAGATACAATACCTCTTCTTGTTCCCCCATTCTGTCTGGCTTCTCTGTTTCTCTTGTAAGCTCTTTAGGGCAGGGACTGTGGCCCAGCTCCTCAGAGATACTCGGGCATCTAACACCCATTGAAATCAAAGGGAATTAAATGTCTAAATGGCTTTGAAACCTGTCTGACTATGTGTGCATGTACAGCTCCTAGCACAATGAGGCATTGGCCTCTAGGCACAAATAGCATATATTAATAATTAACAATTAATACAATTAATAAGTGCCATCCATGGAATTTACATTGCAACACTCCTCCCCTCCCCCACTCCCACCTTGTAGCATTTGGATCCTGGGTGCTGGTTCTAGTTTGTTTCTAGCTAATGTGGAGAACAGAATCTGGCAGATGTTTAGATTCTGGAACCCTCGGAAAGGGTCGGTGGCAGCTGAGCCAATGTCAGCAAACAGATCTGGTAGAAGAATGAAGTTTCCATGTGCTGATCCAAAACATGCTGCCTCCAGGACTATTACAAAGGCAAACCCTTTGGCAAAAATACTCTGGGCACAGCAAGAAACTTCCAGTGCTGGGCCAAGTGGAACCAGTTCCAGGAAAGTAAATATCCCTTCTCTGGACACATTTTACCTGCCAGTCTTCTGACAACAGCTGAGCCCTCTGCGACGCACTCGCCTTTGTCTGGAGCAGCCTCTGCTTGGAGTGAGGCATTCAGCCACTAGCTGTGTTAGAGGCACAAGGAAGGCTGGTTTTGTTTCAGAAACAGGAGACCTGGGGTTTTTTTCCCTCCTGGCTCTGCCACAGACTCACTGTGAAAGCTTGGACAAGTCACCCTGCACTAGCTTTTAAAAAGGGTTTAGGTGCCCAAAGATGCAGATAGGTGCCTAAAGACCTTGCAAAATCTAATGCTCATTTGATTTAATTTAGCAACTCCCGTATGGCTGTCGATCATGGTCTTATTGCACATGCAAATTACAGGTTTGCCATAAGTGGATCTTCCCTTCTAAAAAATCCAGCCCCTTTTTTCTCCCTGCCTCAGTTTCCTCATCTGTCCAATAAAGATAATAACACCAATCCTACTACAACTTACAAACATGTACAGGAAACCCCCGCCTTACAATGGTCCAAGTTGCGACCCCCCACACTTATGGCCATTTTTTTAAGTGCGGAAGGGGCTGAAACCCCCCGACTTACATCCATGGCCCGCATTTACAACGGCACATGGCACCTATCGTAAATGCGGGTTCGAGTTATGACGCCCCTGACTTGTGATGCTATCCCCGGAACCGATTGCGTCGCAAGTCGGGGGCAGCCTGTAGTCTGATTCTTCCCTGGGGATCTTGTCCCTCATGGAAGTGGGTTGACTCTGGCTCATTGGGCAATGAGAACAGATTCCACCGGTTCTTGGTGAATGCCCTGAGCTTGTCTGCTGTGCATTCTAGTGCCTGGCTGAAGGACACTGTAGACCCAGTGATCGTGTCCCTAGATCAGAGGATCGCAGCCATGACTGGCTTGAACATTCAGCCGCCGTATGCGGAGTACCTACAGGTGGTGAACTATGGGATAGGCGGACACTACGAGCCTCATTTTGACCATGCCACTGTAAGTAACAAAGTGGGTAAGACTGGAACGCAATTTGCAGTCTCAGTGCAGGGTAATTGTCACACAGGGCTTGAGCCGATGATCTATGAGAGGCCTCTGCTAGCTTCTGTTGGCACTGGATGGGGTTCACCACACCATGCAGCAGCTTTCTGTGTTTCAGTACCATTCCAGGGATGTTGCACTCATCTTTCTGTTTGTTTCATGGGATTCTTTCGCACAATCCTTCCCACCTGCCTTAAAAACCACTGCCCTTCTGGAACACCATGGTCTCTTCTCTCTGCGACAGAGAAGATGGCCAAACAACCCAATACCCAGCTCATCTGTGGTCAGTGTTGCTTGGGAGCTGGAATTGATCACAGGGTTCTGTAACACATTCTAATAGCCTCCTGTAAGTAAACCCACCAGACACTGCACAGATGGGCATTTTGTAACATACTTAACAGCAGGGTGATATATTTTCACTGAAACTCTATTTGGCTGGGAGAAAAAGGCTTGTCAACCAAAATGAAAAATTTTACTGCCAATTTTTGTTTTGGTTGAAGTTTTCCAGGCTTCTTGTTGAAACAAAGGAAATAGCTTTTTTTCCCCCAGTAAAACAAATCTTTGCTTTGTATTAAAAAAAAAAAAACCCACTACAGGTTGAACCTGTCTAATCTGGCACCCTTGGGACCTGACCAATTCTGAACGAGAGAATTTTCCAGAGGAGGGGAGGTCAATATTGTCTAGGAGCATTACCAAAACTTCCACTGCTTACTGGGCTCTTAGAAGACAGTTAGGGGTAAATTAGAGCTAAATAACAGAACACTGAGAGCTAGGACTGGTGGCTGTAAACAAACTTTATGGGACTGTGGAAAACTTGGCCAGACCCATGAAAAGTGGACATCCAGCTAACTAAAATCATTCCGGATGATGGATGTTTCTGAACCAGAGAGTTCTGGACTAGAGAGGTTCAACCTGCATTTTTAAATGGAAATCTCTAACTGGAAAATCTCCTAGTTTTGGATTGGAGCCTTTTAATGAAAACACAAAACATCTTCATGGGACATTTTGAAATAATGAAAAAAAATCTTATTTCCAGTGAAAAATAATTTTAAAGCCAGATCTGTGCATGCCATACAGTAGGCTGTGTGCTGAGCTCACTTGCACCTGTTCTACACCTGGGTGACTGCTGATTTTAGTAGAGCGATGCCAGATTAACACGAGTGTAACTTAGATCAGAATCTGCCCAGTATCTATTGTTTTCATTGTAGTAAAGACTTGCAGGCCTTCATGTAAGGGCTGGTAAATGTAGTACATGTGCTTCAAATAGCAGCCATATTTAGGAACCTGCTACAAGATTATTTGCTTAACAGTCTGGTGGCAGGTGCAAATGAGAGGCATAGGTGACCTTGACCATTGTTCTTTCCCGTTGTTTATTTCTCATTTCTGCCTCGACGTTGCCGGCAACTGTGCATTGTGGATCTTATTACCATAGATTATGCTTTTGGCCTAAACAGTGTCCTTTGAGCACAAGGCCCCATCTCGTAGCACTGGTAATGTTAATGTCTGTTCTGAATAGTGCAGCAGCACTGGGACTGTGAGTGAACATCTGTTTTCTTTTGATGCAGTCGAGAAAGAGCCCTCTTTACAGAATGAAGTCAGGTAACAGACTGGCCACGGTCATGATCTATGTGAGTATTTCCTGCCAGCTGGGGTCTGGGCAGGCTTTTGTTTCTCACTGAGTGTGAAGGATGGTTAAAAGATGTCTAGGCACAACATTCCCAGGGCTCATAAGTCACACTAAGCTAACCTGCAACTATGTCAGGCAATGTGGACAGGTGGTTAGAGCAGAGAGCCTCCTGGTTTCAGTTCCCAGCTGCAGGGGTCAGGCTAAGAGCAAATGTGCCCTATCTTTGCTCTGTTCACAATCCCAGACCATCTAGCTCTTTCTGATTAAACAGATCCACAGTGAAAAAGTTAATAATGCTTCAGGTAGTCATTAGGGTTCAGGGTTAACACCTCATTGAGGTGGATTAAGGCAGTCCACACCTCACTGAGGTCTGGATTAGAGTCTCTATATCAGATTTCTTCCCCTTCACTAAGGCTAAACATATTGGCTGTGTCTAGACTGGCCAGTTTTTCCGGAAAAGCAGTTGCTTTTCCGGAAAAACTTGCCAGCTGTTTACACTGGCCGCTTGAATTTCCGCAAAAGCACTGACTTCCTACTGTAAGAAATCAGTGCTTTTTGTGGAAATACTATGCTGCTCCCGTTCGGGCAAAAGTCCCTTTTGCGCAAAACTTTTGCACAAAAGGGCCAGTGTAGACAGCTGAGATTTGTTTTTTGCGCAAAAGTGCGTCTAGGTTGGCCACGGACGCTTTTCCGCAAAAAGTGCTTTTGCGGAAAAGCGTCCGTGCCAATCTAGACGCTCTTTTCCGAAAATGCTTTTAACGGAAAACTTTTCCGTTAAAAGCATTTCCAGAAAATCATGCCCGTCTAGATGTAGCCATTGTTTGAATGAATGCTCAGATTTTACAGAACTTTGGCACAGGGTTGGTACAATGAGCCAGTTAGTAGCTAACACCAGCTTAACTCTGTGGGTGTTGATTATGTGCACTGTGGTACAAGTTACATTCCAGGCAGCATTAAAACATATAGAGGATGTCTGGGAGAGAAACCAACAAATTGGCTTCGAGCAGCATTGCAGAGCAGGCAGTGTGATCTCGAGCAACTCAGAAAGTCGCTCTGTGCCTTAATTTCTCCTCATGGAAAAACCACCTCTCAGGCAAAGTGCCCCCTTGTGAAAGAGGCTTTGTAACATGCAGTGTTACAGTGAGCACTTCCCTTGCTTTCCAGCTGAGCTCCGTGGAAGCTGGAGGATCCACCGCCTTTATCTATGCAAACTTCAGTGTGCCTGTGGTCAAGGTGAGTGGGTGGGCGGAGGTTCCAGCCCGATCTCCAGAAAGATGGTCTCCCCAGCACTGCTGGGAAGGGACAGCCTTGCTCTGAAGTACCTACACCATTAACATCAGTCTGCCAGGTCCTCCTCTGTTCCATAAGTCACGTATCCCAAATGGCATCCTCTCCTGGAGCTGTGCTGGAAGCACCCTATCTAGGGACGTTCACTGCTGGACCATAGAGCAGGCTAGTTAGTGCCCGGCTGAGCAGGATGCTGCTCTGTCTGGACAGCAGGAACCATAGTCACGTCTCGGGGCTGGTCTGTGTCAACCAGCCTGTTCCCAGGGGGCTGGTGCCAGCACCCTGCGTGTCCCAGCTAGAGCATTGTGCACAACACTGGGTGTTGCTTTGGCTGGCGCAAGCGTGTGGCATTCTGCAAAGTTTGGTTTGAGTTCCTCTGAGCCCCTCCCGCCCCCAGCGCACAGGGAAACTCTCTCCCAACATGCTCCATTCCCTGCAGGGGCCGGGCCAGTCCAGACTTCCCCAGAGTTCGGGAGTGGCTGGGCCTGGGGGCTTGGTTGAGCCCATTGTATAGCTAGGGGTCAGCTGCCAGATTCCTCTCCAGAGCAGCTCTTTCCCGAAGCTTTTGGGGAGGGTTAGCTTGTAGCCTGGAGGGGTTTGATTGGACGTGGGCTGAGAAGCCGCAAACCCAGGGAGTTTCTCACCATTTGGGGTCTGATTGGGCCTGATCTTCATTTCCACTGATCCCCTTTGCCCTACTCTGACAATGCAGATTGGTGTCAGTGAGCCACTGGCCCAAACAGAACCTCCTGCATTGCACCAATGACATCACTGGTCTGCAAGCTGCGGGGGAGAGGGTGGAGACCGGACCCGCTGGGGGTGGACTCATTACAAGCTGAATGCAATTCTGAAGCGCTGTAATTCGAGCAATGCAGGAGGTTCTCCTGGGCTCATCGACACCAGGGGCACTTGCACTGTCGGAATGGCCAAGCCCTGGCAGTGGCCGCTGCCGGCAGACAGGATACTGGGCTAGAGGGACCTTTGGTCTGACCCAGTACGGCCGTTTTTCTATGTCATGTCTCCTGACTAGGGGCAGCAGGTATCATAGGCAGGGGAAGGGCCTTCCCAAACCGCCAGCCTGGCCCCGCCCACACTCCACCCCAGAACGCCTGCTGTAGGCCTAGTGGGGACGGAGTGTTGCTCGCTCTCCCCCTCCCCATGCTCCAGGACTGAGTACACTGGGGCTGTGTGCAATCTGCCCTCCTCATGCTCCAGGGCAGAGGAAGCTTGGGCCACATGCCAAACAGGGGAGAGGGGTCTTGACTCCCATGGGGGTGGGGCCTAGGTAGAAGGGGCGGGGCTGGGGGCTTGCCTGCCCCAGCCTTTCCTTCACCCACCGCCCGTGCTCCTGACAGTGCTTTAGCCACATGTCAGCTATTGCTTGTTGTGCTATGGGGGTCCCCTTCCCTGAGAGTGCTACGCAGCAGCAGCCGCACCGGCAGAGTGTGCAGCCTTCACAAAGCAATTGTCTCAGTCCCCTCCACTTGAATGGGAGGCCCATGGGCAGGCTGGGAGCAGGCTGGATAGCAAGTGTGTGATACAACAAACCGCTTCTCCGCCCACCTAGCATGTCCCTGGGAGCTCATTTCGCAGCCACCAAGCGCTCCTCTGGGTGCGTGGCAGGTGGGGGGCAGACGTCCCGCTGCAGGGCAGAACGGGGGAAGGTCAGCACTAAAAGCATGAGCCACTCCAGCGTGCGCGGTGCCTCCCAAGGAGCGGCTGCTCTGGACACCTCCCCGCTGAGGCTGAGCAGCAAGGGGGCCCCTGGGCTTTGCGGGCTGCCGCAGGAGCCCTCCATCCACGGGCGTCTTGTCTCGTTTCCAGAATGCAGCTCTGTTCTGGTGGAACCTTCACAGGAACGGAGCCGGGGACGAGGACACCCTCCACGCCGGCTGCCCAGTCCTGGGGGGAGACAAGTGGGGTAAGAGCATGGCAACGCACAGCCCCAGCCTCCCTGATCGGGTTCTTTGAAACCCTGGCAGAGGGTATCAAGCTAGTCACCCTGTCTGCCTAGCAGGGGCAGGCTGGTTCAGCCAGGAAGTGCAAGTGAGAGGATGCAGCAAGGCAAACTAGCCACAGGACAGCAGATGCAAGACACCTTCCAGTCACAAAGGACCCTCTGCAACAGGCGCCCCGGGCGCCTTGCAAAAAGCGATGTACAAGGTGCAGGATACCTAGACGTCACTTCACACTCAGTCCCCGCCATCTCCAAGATTGCCAGAGCCAGCTGCTTGGAGAAGAGATAAGAAAGGCCCAGGTGGATGATTGCAGAATAACCCCGCACCTGGGGGAGTTCTCCCTTAGGCCTCTGTGTGGCTGACTGAGGAGGGCCTGTATCCCTTCCTAGCATCCATTACTCTCTCCATGGGGAAACTGAGGCAGGGAGCACGTCAAGCCGGAATGTTCTAAAGCATTCGGCCCTGGTGTAGATGCCTAAATAAAAGGCCTTGACTGTCTAGCCCTGAGCCATCTGGGAAGCTTGTGCTGAGTCAGTGTCTGAGCCGGCACTCGCTTGGCTCTTCGTCCTGATGGCGCCCTGTAGGTGGAGGGTGCAATCCCACAGCAGCAAGAAGACAGGCGGAACGGCTTCGCTTCTCCCCCACCTCCACTGTCTGCGACGCTCTCCTGCCTCACCCGTTCGGCCCTCTCTCAGTGCTCTTTGCCCTCCTCTCTTTCAGTGGCAAACAAATGGATCCACGAGCACGGGCAGGAGTTCCGAAGGCCGTGTAGCCCCGACCCCCGAGATTAAGCGCCGGAGCCGAACTTGAGCACCCCCCCACCCCGTGCACAGGCATGGGAGGAGGTGGGGGATGGAAACCCACCGCCATCCGATCCTGAAGCAGGGGAGGGACCGGGAGAAGCCAGCTGGTGGGCTGCAAGGGAATGTGGCCTGCTGCCAAGGCACGGCTCAGCAAGGCTTCCTCTGTTGTGTCTTGAGTCCGAGGATGGTGGAAGGGCTGGGAGGGGGGAGTGGAAGAGAAGTCACTATGGGAGGAGAGTGGGGGAAGTTATAAGGCGAGAAAGAGGCAGCTGGAGGCGCTGGGACTGGCTCAGCTGGGGGACATGAGCAGCAGAGAGGCCCTGCTGCAGTTCCTGGGAAGTTAATTGCACAAGCCCTGGCTGTTAGCATGCAGAGAAAGAGCCAAGGGAGGAGGCTGATTTCCATGAGCCAAGGTGGAGGAGGAACTAGGGCACAAGGGCCCGAGTCTGATCTCAGGTACCTTGTGCTAAGTCTGGAGTTATTTGGTCCGTCGGGAAAATAAAGCAAAGGGAGAGAGAGTCACTGGGGCAGTCCCCTTAGCACTAGTGTCTCTCGACTGAACAAGATGCTGGAGAGATCAGTGTTGCACTGGGTGAGGGTAAGGCAGTGATACTCAATTGGATCTGCTCCTCAGCTGATCTGAGAGTTGTATGACCAGAGGTGGGGCATGTGTGCAGACGGCTGACAAAATTTAAAAAAACAACTTCAGCTGCCAATAAATAGACTCTGACTGGCACATGCATGTTAGGGGTTTCCTGTGGTTGTGGCAATCTGTATTGGGAGAGGTGACATGGACAATCTCTGCAAGAGTGGTTTGTAGGAGGTCAGGGCAAGGCAAATGCACTGCTGAAGAGGCTCATCTGTCAGGCGATTGCAGGTTTTTTTCATGTACCAGGTCCACAGAGGTACATTGATCCGGACATCGTTAAAAGAGAGCTGGCTAGATACCTGCTCTTCTGAAACTGGGCAGACTGCTGAGTCCAGAACATGCACCGTCCCACTTTTCTGCATTTTGCCTTCAAGACAGCTGAGCTCCTGAGCTGTACAATTTCTAAGTGAAAGCCACTTTCGTCAGCTGAATCAAGAATGCTCTTTGCTTCGGAAGGGCTGGGTCCATCAGCAGAGACAGCAAATGGATGCTGAATGTGCAAATGCAGAATCTTTTGGAAGTTTACAATTTTCAAATCGCATTTTATGTTTTTTAACCAAATGATTCAGGAATTCTTGCATCATTTTCCTGGGGGTTTCATTCAGCAACACCACTCTGTGGAAAAGTGTAACATCTCTCCTGTGACGTCTGTCTGAAAGATTTTAAGATTCCTCTGAAAGACTTCCCCTTTTCCAAACAAATTCCCTGACACTGCTTGCACAGTCTTGTTGCACGGTCTTGTTGCAGCTACGTGTTGAAGGAATTCAAATGGCTAATAATATTGCACAGAAAAGCTACTTGTGACATTCATTGGAAATCATTCATAAATTCCAGGAACTCACACAAGCCTTGTTGGTCTTGTGGTTTGAAAAAATTCTATTATTTCTATTTAATGCACACAAAATCTCTTAACACACGTCTCCTATTTAACCAGTGAAAGTTGCTGGCCTGCAACAGATCACTGTATTCAGCTGAAACATCTTTTGGAAGAGCTTTAAAAAGACAATATTGCAAGCTAGAAGTTGAGCATAGGTAGTGCACTAATCTCATTACTATACCTATTTTTTTCAAGCCCCCCAGACAACTTAGTGCACAAGATAGTCTAGTGAATGATGCAGTGGGTGTAAGAAAGGTTGTACTGCTGCCAAATAATGAAGCAAAGCCCTTCTTTTTCTCTGTCATGGACAGTGCACTATCTGTAACAAGAAAGTTTGCTTTCTGCGGATCTAAACCTTCCCACCCCCCCCAAAAAAAGCCTTTTACCTTTGCAAAAACAATCTCTCTCGTGGCATAGGTTTCTAACAGCATTAAGCACAAAAAATTCTTTCTTGAATATTTCACCGTTATAAAATCTACCAGCGATAACTGGACAGTGTCACTTAAATCACTTGATTCATCCATTGCAAAAGATGAATATTTAGCATTTTTAACTCAGCAGTGCTGGCAAACAGTCCTCATAAATTACGCATAATCTTCACACTGCTATGGCATCAGAAAGGGGAACTTGCTTCCCCCAGTTCACAGTCTCATCTTTGTTTTTATCTCTGGCAAAAAACTATTCCGGCATTTCCAAGGTGTGCTCCTTTACAAGCTCAGCATCCAGAAAAGACCTTTTTCTTTTGAGCTAGTACCAACGTTATCTACAGAGAAGCAGCTGCATAGTCACTGATGTTGTGAGAATGACATTTGACGTGTGATAGGAAGACTTCAGATTTTGTTTTGTCACGTCTTGCAACACTTTCAGAATTGGCTGTGTTGAAGTTACTGTGCTTTGACTCACACTGACGACCTTGCAGACGGATTCAGTGGTTTGGCACATTAAACGCAAAGGTTCTGCATTTAAATGAGGCTTCATAATAAAAAGAAATCTGCTGTCCCGTTGGGATTGAGAACTCAGTTTTTGCTGTCGACTCTGTGACATTTACTCCCACTCGCATTCATTTTTTGCTCCATTTCTATCACTAATGAAAACATGGACAGCACTGCCTAGCTCAGTCGTAGCCGCGATGCTATGGCGAGAACATAATTCCAAGGAGGTTACTTACTAAAGAAGTCATCGGCAAATGATAGGCAGCGCATCACTATTTAATTACAAACATTTTTAAGGTGAGTTGGCAGGCTGCACAGGAAACCATGGTGGGTCAGATTTGGCCCACGGCCGCCTATTGAGTATCACTGGGGGAAGGGCTTGATGGCCTAGATGGGTCTACTTCTAATGCTGAGATCCATGCCCCATGCCTGGATAGTACCCAAGAGAAGTAGGAAAACAGATTCTCTGATCCAGGGCAGGACACCAGGTTGTCCCCCCAGACAGTCGGGGACAGATGGGCGTTCCTTCGCTCCAGGAGGAGTCTCACCAAAGCACAAGCCAGATTCTGCTGGTGGGTTTCAGCAGTGAAACAGATCAGAACCCAGCCCTGTGTGTCTAGCCCAACTGACCTCGCCACAACGGGTCAGTTTACAGGCAGCCACACTGACCTAAGCCAGAGCTCTCCTAGCTTCTGTGGCAGTGGCTGCAGTGGGACGTCGGGGAACGTGAGACAAGGCTAAAGCACCACCGACACATGCAAACCGGGAAGGTTGCAAAGGGCAATGGTGAAATTTGGAAAACCCTGGGGTAGAATCCCAACCCTAGAGGTCCCGGCTGAGATCCAGGCCTCACTGCTTGGTGCTGTATGTAAACATAGTAAGAGCTGCCCCTGCCCCAACCAGCTTACAGTCTAATGGCATCTCTGCATTGGGGCTAGAATATTGTTATTGCTGTACGTCTCTGCCGACACCTAATGGCATCGCAGTCCAAGACCAGGCCCAAAAGGACAGCGTGGTTCTTGCACACAGGAACTGGTCAGTTGCAGTGGCAAAAAGAAACACATAGACTTGAATGCCAGAAGGGACCAGTGTGACTATCTAGCCTGACCTCCTGCGTCTAGCAGGCCACAGAACCTCCCCCACCCACTCCTGAAACAGACCCCGACGCTCTGGCCGACGTCCTCAAATCAGGGCTGAAAGACTTCACGTTCCAGAGACTCCACCATTTACTTGAGTTTAAACCTGCAATTGACCCCTCCCTCATGTTGCAGAGGAAGGCAAAAAACTTAAAAGAGCCATGTAATGGGATAGGGGTTCACTGGTCCCACCCTCTAAAAAGGGCACCGGCCATCCTGTTACCATGTATCACTTCCAACAAGCTCCCCTACCTCCAGCAACACACATACCCCCGACTGGGATCCTGGGGTTGAGCTCTTCACAGCAAGGACTGTCTCCTACTGTAGAGTCAGAACCCTGGAGGACTGGAAGGGACCATAATAGGCCATTTACTCCAATCCCTGCACTCAGCGGTGAACTACATAAAAATAATTGGACCCTTCCTGAGCGGGGTTTGTCTGACTTCCTACTCCAGTCCCTGCGCTCAGCGGTGAACTACATTAAAAATATTGGACCCTTCCTGAGCGGGGTTTGTCTGACTTCTAAAAAACTTCCCTTGGCTGAGGTCTTCAACTCCCCTCGGCAGTTTGTCCCAGTGCTTAACCACCCTCACGGGTAGGATGTTTTTCCTAATGTCCAACCTAAACCTCCCTTGCTGCAATTTAAGCCCATTGCTCCTTGTCCTGTCCTCGGAGGTTCAGAATTTTCTCCCTCCTCCTTGCAACAGCTTTTTATGTACTTGAAAACTGTTATGGCTTCTTCTCAGTCATCTGATTGCCAGACTAAACAAAGCCAATGTTTCTGTCTTCTGTCATAGGCCACATTTTCTCTAAACCTTTAGTCATAGTTGTTGTTCTCTGGACTTTCTCCAGTTTGTCCACATCTTTGGACGACTGTGGTGCTGAACATTAGAAACACTATTCCAGCTGAGGCCATATCACTGCAGTGTAGATGTGTAGACAGAGCACCAGCCTGCAGCAGCTGGCCAGCAAGACCCTGCCTTAGGAGACTGATCGCAGAGGGGGCTTTATCTCCTCTAGGTTTAACAGCGACACATGGGTGTTACATTTCCAAATAAAAACTAAGCAGCCTCAGGACCAGTCTATAGCTCTGCCTGGTCAAACAGCCTCACTAAAGGAGACTGAACTCCCACTGCACAACCAGCAAAGAAGGACTATTGGCATCTCACACAGCTTAGGACTTTGCAATCTGAGGGGACTCTAAAAAATTAAAAACGGACTCCGTTTCCAATTGTATCAGAATTGGTTGATAGATAAACGTGGTACGGGGGAGAGAAGATGCTCTCTAATTTTTGTTCAAATATGACAAAAAGATACACATCTGGCTGCCCAAATGCCCTTACCCATCACGAATTGTTCATTATTGACTGGCAGGAGGCCAGGGCTGAGGAAAAACCCAATAATTGCACTTGTAAAATTAGTATTTCTATGAGTAAGTCTGCGGTCAGTCTCCTCAGGCAGTATTTTGTTGGACAGATGCTACAGGTTGGATCTCCCTGGTCTGGCACCTTTGGGACCTGACTGGTCCTGACTGCAGAAATTTTCTGAACCATGGATGGCCAATTTCGACCCCTCTGCTGCCAGCCTCTAGGCTATCCCCCTCCGGGTTCTTCCCAGGGGCTACCAGCCTCCTGGCCAGACCACTGGGCTCTACTGCTGGCCCTGGCTGGGCTCCCTAGCTCCAGTTGTGGGACCACCTCCACTGCTGTTCCCCTGGCCTGGGCTCCAGCTTTGATCCCACCCCTCCCAGCTGCTGGAAGGGCTCCGCTCCCATCCGCCAGGGCTCTCTGGTCCAGGGGCTGTCTGGTACAGCAACATCCGTTGTTGTGCCAGACCACAGATGTTGTCAGACCAGAGTGTCCTGGACCAGAGAGGTCCAACCTCTACTGGTAAAATTCTGACCATGCCTCCATAAATTATTTAAATAACTACATAAATAAATAAAAATAAATAATCAGTCAATCTGATTGCCGATAAAATGGGGGGAAATGTGAGGTCGGAGACGGCACAGTCACAAAGGTTTCCTGCAAAGCTCATGCTTGCATGGGACTTGTCCTGGGTGTGACATCATGTTAGCATCCACCTTGGCCGGTATCAGCTGGAAGGCTGCTGTCTTGTTTACGGTCCAGCATGCTCAGTTGCTCACTGCCTTCGCTCCTGTTTTCCTTCGTTTTCTGAAGTGTTAGTGTGTTCTTCTTTTGGCCTGTATGTACGTACAACTGTGTATTTTACCTCACACACCTCTTTCTGCTTGATACATGATCCATGTACCAAATGATTGATTTTGTAGGTGATAGGGTTGCCAGATACTTTCACACAAAATCCTGAACATAGTGGGGGAAAAATTGGTTGAGGAAAAAAAAAAGGTTGCTGCGAAAACTGGACACCTGGGAATCCTAGTAGGTGAACATCTTTGAGTCGAATGGAGCTTGAGGAGGATAAATTTGTGTTTGCTTCCCTCCATCCGTTTTGGGAACCTTCTCTATATTTTATAGTAGAGCAAAATCAAAATCCCAACCGTTTCGGGAACCTTCTCTATATTTTATAGTAGAGCAAAATCAAAATCCCAACAATTCATTGTTTCACAGCTAAAATTAAATTGGAATCAACATTTGTAAATCTATTTTATATATAGCCTGGATAAACTGTGTATTTCCCTAACTTTTTTCATTTATTCATATAAAAAGAATAAATGTCCTTGTTTACGGTGTGAAAAATCATAGAGCCCCTCTTGTTTTCCTGTGAGAACATAAAGCATTTGTGTTTGAATATGCAATGTCCTTTCTGTGAACATGATAATTTTTTTTTACAGTGTGGGGCCTCTTACACTTTTTGTATATGCAATGTCCTTTCTGTGAACACGAAATTTTTTTTTTACAGTGTGGGGCCTCTTACACTTGACCTAGCTTGGGGGTCTCAGGATGTCAAATCTGTCTCTGGTTTTACTGTATCCCCCCTCCCTCTCCTCCTGAGCCTGCTGTCTGTTTGGCAGAAAAAAGAGCAAATTATTACTACTAACAGTGCTGTGACAGGGCCCGCAATGGTGCTGATTTTCTGTGTCTGCTGACAGATCCTCACAGGGGTGGGGAACCTACGGCCCAGGGGCCAGATCCAGCCCCCGGCTTGCCTGGATCTGGCACCCCAGCCCCAAGGCTTAGGGTTCCTCCCCAGCAATGGGGAGCTGGCACTGGCGCTCCAGCCTTCCCCCCCTCACAACTTCGCACTCCCCTCCCAGTTCCCATCACTCCGCATCCCTCTCCTGCCTGGACCCCCCCCACTTCACTCTTGCACCCCACTCCTGTCCCAGAGCCTAGGGGAGGGCCCACAAAATCTACTAGCCCAGGCCCCTCTAGGCTCTGGTGTACAAGAGGAACGTGGGGAGCATCTTTTTGCTTTGCAGTCGGGGGCTATGTCAGTGAGGTGCGGGGATTTTTTCCCCATTCATTTTTGTGCAGTCCCCGACAACTGATTTTTCTGTGGGTCAGCAGCCCCTGCGCCCCTGCTTTATAGCAGCCTGACAGCTGCCTGCCACCTTTGGGCTGGCTCCTAGTTCCAAGACTGCACTGCGCTTCCTTGTTGCAATGAACTGTCTGAAATGTAAATCTGGCAAAATGCACAGCCTGGAAGGAGAGGAAGGTGCTAATGTCTCCCCAGCTGGCTCTAGCCCAGCTCCCCGCCAGCAATCCAAGGATCTATTGCACCAGCAGAACCAGCAGGTCCCAGGGAAGGGGCCTGCCTTAAAGGGGAAGCCTCGCTAACAATACGGCTTGTAGGAAACTAGCTTTTTCCAGACGTTTGGTATTTTGCTGGGGTGTGTGTTTGGAAGCCTCTGAAACACCCATTAGTCATTTTACAAATTTCATTATCGATGCTGATGTAGCAAATGTTACTGCCTTTTTCTTTTCTTTTCAAACCAGCTGGTGTTGAGAAGTGAAACATTTTGATTTTTCTCAGTAAAGTTTCAGATTATGAAAGTCACAAAAACTTTCCTGGAAGCCAAAACATTTTTTGCAGAGAAAGATTTCACCACCCTCCCCACCCGCCAGGCCTCCAACCCTTCGTCTGAAAAAACGTCAAGCGAGTCTAATCTGCGACTCCTGGGGAACTTTGGAATGAGATGTCAAACCCTTCTGATTGGTGCAGCTTGGGTTTATTTCCTGTATTAGGCGGCTGCTTTCTTACCAGCTTCCCAGGTCAATTCCTTTGCCTCACAAATGTGCTTCTCCCTCGCTTGTCCAACATAGCTTAATTGATTGTGAGGCCTGAAAGCACCATTCTGCCCATCTCCTCTGGCCTCCTGCATAATCCAGGCAAAAATCTCCCCCAGCAATTCAGCCCTTAGCTTGTGGTTGTGAATGCATCAATGACTTTTCCATTCACAGGGTTCTTTTATTCCTTCCTTTCCTCTTTGCCTGGGACCACCTGTCTCTGCTACTATAACATCACAGGTCGCCATCACAGCAGCGTTTTAAACCCAGTGCCCAATGGGATACTGACTGTAATACTGAGTCCCTATTTTCCTTTTGCCTGTTGAACAGATATTTGCTCAGTGCTGAAATTCTGCCTCCTGCTATAGAGTGGTGCAGAAAAGGGCAACTAAAATGATTAGGGGTTAGGAACAGTTGCCATATGAGGAGAGATTAATAAAACTGGAACTTTTCAGCTTAGAGAAGACTAAGTGGGAGAATATGATAAAGGTCTATAAAATCATAAGTGGTGTGGAGAAAGTAAGGCTATGTCTACACTGGACTCTAAAATCCAAATAAGATACGCAATTTGCCTTATGCAAATTACGTACTTTATTTCGATATAGGCTATTTCAAAATTTGGCACGTCTACACAGTGCCATATTTTAAAATGAAATGCTAATTAGAGACATCCCGTATGCCTCGTGGAACGAGGTTTACAGTGATGCCGAAATAGCGCATCCGTTATTTTGAAACTTCTTTCAAAATATCAGACACATTCTGTGGACGCGGGGTATCCCAAAATAGCACTGCAGTCTAGACGTACCCTATGTGACAAAAACTAGGGGTCACCAAATGAAATTAACAGGAAGCAGGTTTAAAACAAACAAAAGGAAATATTTCTTTATACACTGCACTGTCAAACATGTGGAACTCCTTGCCAGAGGATGTTGTGAAGGCCAGGTCTTTAACAGGTTTAAAAAAAGAACGAGATAAATTCATGGAGGTTAGGTCCATCCATGGCTCTTAACCAGGATGGGTAGGAATGGTGCCCAAAGCCTCTGGGGGATGCATCACTGGTAGGTTACCTGTTCTGTTCATTCCCTCTGGGTACTTGGCATTGGCCACTGTCAGACAACAGGATATTGGGACTAAATGGACTTTGGTCTGACTTAGTAAGGCTGTTCTTATGTGTGTGTTAAATACCTTGCTGCAGAGAGCTACTGTGTGATACATGGCAGTGAG